TTCAATTAAAGCAAAAGAAACTGAATTCAATATCGTTTAACTTTAGCGATAACGGCGTTATCGCCGTCACGGTTGGTTTCTCTAAAGTTGTAGCAATATGCTGATATGGATATTGCTCCCTACGAACCAAGGTGTAACTTACAGATTAACAGTGAAGAGTTTTTACGCCTGCATTTGCGGGGACCTCAGGTTAGGAGCTTGAATCGAAGACTCACTGTCACATAGCAAAACCTAGAACTCCTCCAACAGTCATACTTCTCCCGAGTCTACTATGCATTAAAGTCGTTTCTCCACTGCATACAATAGTATCACCCTCCCCTTCCCCTCGTACACCGTTTTTGATTTTCGCCCCGTACGCTCTTGTGCCCCCTACTGTAATAAATTATTTCATTCGTGTATTTGGAAAACGACCGGTACACTACAGGGATTTTTTGGGACGTAATGTTTTTTTTTCTTCCACAATACTAACTCTTGAGCTCACGCTCACCACCTGAGAGTTAACAGTCGTATATTTTTGTTTAAGTTCTACACTAAAATTTTTAGTGTATGGTTTTTTTAGGCATCCATCACCGGAACGCCGCCCATGCGAATTTCTGCCCGCCGTCGCAGTCGCTGAGTCCCTGTCTTTACCCGAGCCTGTGCCTGAGCCGGAGCCTGTGCCTGAGACCGAGCCTATGCCTGAGCTCGAGCCTGTGCCTGAGCCCGAGCCTGTGCCTGAGCCCGAGCCTGTGCCTGAGCCCGAGCCCGTACCTGAGCCGGCTTCTGAGGTCATCATTGGTAAGTGTCATGCCCTGAACATAAACAGTGAGTGAAGAAAACACACAACCTTATAAATTATGTGGTTTGGGTTTAAAAAAATAAAAATTATGAAACCGTTTTGTAAAATCTTTATTTTTTACAGAATTGATAGACGAGACGGTGTCGTCGCCAGGAGTCGCAGGCGCTAGCCGGAATGTCATCAGTAAGAAATATACTTTTTATAAATCCACCTTGATTTGAGAAATCGTTAATTAATCCCCGTCAGATTAGGTGGTGTTATAAATTTGTGTTATTATTGGATGGCATATAATTCAGGTGTTTACTTTTTTCGGATGTCAACAACCCTGACTTCGACGTGACCGTGTCTGACTAGCTTGACCGTTTAGAGACATTAGACAGTGACTACGAGGACCTCAGTGACATCGACGACTTAGTTGACGGAATCCCGTTCATTACCGCGGACCGTAAGAGAGCACATTGCGGATGACGCGGGACTGACTTTGACCGAGACTGAGATTTTACGACTGGAGGAAGAAACCAGCGATCGCCATGTTCGGGAGTTGGTTTCTTCCAACGACTACTTCGAGTTAACTGGAGTGAAGACAGAGGTACTTTTACGGGTGAAAGGGAGGTTTTTACTGGTGTACCAGGACCGACTTTCCCGATTACAGACGCGACTCGACCGGTCGACATTTTTTATAAAATGTTCGACAATGACTTTATCGACATAATGGTGACAGAGACTAACAGATACGCCGAACAGAGGGTATCTGTAGCTAGACAAGACTCTACTAAGAAAAGTGCTCGCCCTCTGCGATGGAGACCGACTGACCGTGATGAAATGCTGGGATTTTTAGCAATAATAATATTACAAGGATTATACCCCAAAGTAAGAGAGGAAGCCTATTTCTCATTTGATGGGTTTGGGACGACTCCTTACTTAGGGCGTATTAGTGTCTTACAACCGATACCATTTGTTAAAAGCATTCCAGCATTTTATCGACAATGACACGACCACGGACTTGACAAAACTCAATAAAATACGACCTGTACTCGACTATTTAAATGACAAATTTCCCAGTTTATACAAACCAGCCCAGGAGATAGCCATAGATGAATGTTTGCTTAAGTGGCACGGGCGTCTGAGCTTCTCTCAAAAGATTAGCTCCAAAGCCGCTCAAGTAGGAGTAAAGACGTACGAGCTGTACGAGTCATCGACGGGCTATCTCTGGCGATTTTTTGTATATACTGGCAAAGACGGACCGAACAGGACTGATAGGACAGGACAGGACAGACCTGACAACAGTCAGAACGACCCAGACCATGACCGCACTGACGACGGCAGTCGCGAAGTTCGTCCGAGCAACGCTACTGCCAAAATTGTTTACGACCTAATACAGCTACTACTTCACAAGGGGCACACACTAATAATGGACACGCTAATGATGGGATCGCAAGGACAAATTCCCAGACTGCGACGTAAACCTCTGCATCGTCGGCTGCTTCAGGGAGTACCACAAGCCCCCTTCGACTTAAGTTTTTACTGACAGACAGTCTTACCCCTAAGTGCTTCTTATTCAAACACGACGGTTGACGACGACGACGACAGCGACGACGACGAAAGTAACTACTATGGCTCTCGCACGGCAAAGAGGTCGTCTGGATCAGCTATAACTGTGGGCGTTTTACATATTTCATTTAGCGCCTTGTAATTTTCTTATATTATCATAATGACCTATTGTATCTTTCTAAGACACAAGAAAAAATGTTAACACGAACTTGTAGACTTAATATTCATTTTAATTTTTCTAATATCATAAATGTGAAAATTTTGTTTGTCTGTACTCAATCACGCAAAAACTACTGAACAGATTTGGATGAAATTGGTGAGCGTATACTAGTTTATGACCTGGATTGAGACATAGGATACTTTTTATCCCGGAAAAGTGTTTGGTCCTTGAAGGATTTTAAAAATATATAATATGTATATATGTGAAAAAATTGACCTAAATGAATATAAAACTAGTTTTTACGGGTTAATGCACGAAACTTTATTTATTTATTGACGTTTCGTAGCCTTTACAGGCTACGTCGTCAGAATCAAACTTTTATTTAATATGTCGAGCTACCTTCGAAAGACTTTTATTGAGCGTTCGGTTATTTCATTGTTCGATTTTTAAGTTTTATTGTCTACTAGCTGACCCGGCGAACTTCGTATCGCCTTAGCGTAGCTTTGATGCACTACTTTATTTTGTATAGCTGACCTATGTTATGTATGATTATCTATTCATTATTATTTATTTATTTTTTGTTTTAAATTTAATGACGTTGACATTTGTCAGCGCGGTTATCGATGTGGTGTCACAGATTACCACAGATTTTTTGTTTTAAATTGAATGACGTTGACATTCGTTACGTTATATTTTTCAGTCTTTCTGAGAGATTTTCTTCATATTTTTTTCCGTAAGAACCTTGTACAGAGTATTAGAAAACTACAAAAAAAAAAATCAGCCAAATCGGTCAAGCCGTTTTCATGTTATGTCGTGACAACGGAAAACGGGTTTCATTTTTATATATATAGATGTATGAATTTATTATTTAATTTACTTAATAAAGTATTTTATTTAAAAATCTTTTTTGTAATTTTGAGTTTATTTATTTGACGCTAACTACCGTAAACTACCACCGGTTCATATTATCACCGGTTATTTCGTGCATTAAGCCGTAAAAACTATTTTTAATTAATGAGTGATGTGCGTGAAAACCTAAGAAACTAAATGAATATATTCATTTATGTATTTTATGTCAAGAATTATTGTAATGTTAATTTTATAGAATTAAGCTATAAAAATACATCATCTCGGATACTGCGCATTTATGTATAAGAAGTCTTTGTTTTTTTTTTATTTGATTTTTAATAATAAATAATATAATTATATTATAAAAAAGAATTAAAGTGTGAAAATAAAAAAAAAAAGTTATTTTTTTTATTTAAAACTAACCTATTAAATAATAAAATAACCAAAAAAATAAAGACCGTATTGAGCCTTAAGAACGGCGGCCATCTTGTGAATATTTCGGTTGCCCGAAATGGATGAAGTCGTGGTGGATGAGGATTCGACAGGGTGTTAGATTTTGCTTTACTGATTTTGATACAGATTGAATAAAATAAAGTTTTTGATACCATTAAAAAGGTAGTTAAATTTGCTACCATTTGAGAACAACAAAATTTTACATTTTCCAAATTAACATTCAGAAAAAAGCGTTTAATTTTAAAAGTTTATTTAAAATTGACGTTTTGGTGAGTTCTACCCGCTGTAGTTAATTGGTTTTTGAGTTACAGAGATCCACATATTCTGTGGTGGATTCTTTATTTAATCAGCTTTACGGTAGTATTTTTTGTTTGGTCCTAGCTTCATTATGTAGCGAGAAAACGGCATTTTATTTTACAATGCGCGCATTGTGCGGACTGTTGGGAGGTGCGGGGCGCGCGGTAGCGGACTACCGAGTGGAGACTTAATCATAAAAGTGTTATAATCATATTTTTTTTAGGTTCATGGTCAGGAGCAAAGTACCACTACACAAGTCACTCAAATAGCCCAAAAATCTCAAGAACACACAAATTGCTATTTATTGCCCCAAGACCAGATTGTTAGTACAGACGAGACCAATTTCCCGGTCACCATTCCGGAACAGAGTTTCCTCCTTTTCACACTCAGAACACATTCAGAACCGGAAATTTCAACACCAACTAACGACATTAAAGCTGTTAAGGAGAGCTTAGCAACCATTAAAGCCAACCAAAATTCCTTATATGAAATCCAAAATAATACGTGTGTAAAGATCTCAGAATACAAACAGAGCTAAGATCATTCATAAAAATGAGCGTATCACAAAAAACGGTTGACGGAGAGCCAACTCTAATAAAAAATATCAAAGACCTTGAGGAATTTCCTCTTCCCCTCGGACCACGATAGCGTGTGGACGTATCCTCCGTGCCAAATAATTACTTAACTTTTAAATAAATAATTTAAAACTAGTTAAATTCTGTGTAAAATGTTGACGCAGTACCAGGAGCGCATAGCCGTTGCAGAGGATTAACAAACGTCAACAACCGCGCGGTAAGCTCCGCCTTCGTTACTACTGGCCCCACCCATCACTGCAGCCTAACGCCTATCTAAACTACAATAGCAATATCACTGGCCCTTGAAATAGCTACTACGAAGTAAAGGCGTATTATCATGTTGCGTTCACCAAGTAAAGCAGGTTCTGATTCTGATTTAACCAAGGTCCAATCACCATCGTGTCCGGCATGTTTTGCAAATGCTAGAACCAAGCGCAAACACGAAGACGTATCCATTACAAAAGAAGATTTTATTGCTTTTAAAAACGAGTTAATACAGACGTTGACTTCTTGGACATCAGATCTAGATTCCAAACTTGACAAAATGGAACATTCTTTAGCACAGTTACAATCCACAACTTCAGATTTTGAGATGTCTTTACAATTTATCTCTCAACAGTACGAAGATATGCAAGTAAAGATAATAAATCTAGAAAAGCAATGTAAAGGCAACTACTTATTCATATCTTCGCTAGAAGCCAAAGTTGAAGATCTGCAATATAACATGAAAAAAAATAATTTAGAAATCCGTAACTTACCTTGTGAGGATAATGAGTCTAATACTGATTTGATCCAGATGATGATTAACCTAGCAAGTTCACTCAACTGTACCCTTCAACCAAGTGATATACGTCATATATACCGTATTCCTGGTAAGAAAGGGACAACGAGACCAGTAATCTTGGAGCTCAATTCTATAACAACTAAACACGCAATCCTCACCTGCGTTAGAGATTACAATAAATCGAATCAGACGCAAAAACTTAATTACTCCCACTTTGGAATAAGTGGAACTCCGAGTCCAGTATACATTCAAGATGACTTGACACTTACCTCTAAGAAGCTTTACTATATGGCTCGTCAATTAATAAAACAAAAGCTTTATAAATTCTGTTGGCTCGCCCAAGGAAAAGTACTTATGTATATGAAAAGCTGAAGAACAACCAGCGATTCTCATCAGAAACGAAGCCCATATTGAAAAGCTGCAACAAGTATAACTAGTTTATGTAACTATTAGATTATGTTTCATTCAATTTTATTTTCTATTTTTTTGCTCTGTTAGAACATTTTTGCATGGTAAAACTAAACTACTCATTATAAGCAAACACAATCACACTTTTAGATTTTACATATGTATCTTACACAAACACTTTACTTTCTACACTTACTCAAATACTACACTTACACTTACACCTACCTTATACTTAAACATATACAGGAAGATATGCCTCAACTGCATTCTTTACATAAAAAAACTAAGGCTTAATGCAACATACTGTTTTTCAATAGCGACGCCGCAATTTAGAAGACCCACACAAGATTACTTTAGCCGTGGATAGTATAACAGAATTAGCTAACACTATTGATCAGCTCACTGTTTCTACTACACTAAATTGTCAGCCTGAGTAATGTTACAAATATATAATCAACCCAACGAGGCAGTTAAAAATAATAACCCAAAATATTCGCTCTATAAATGCTAACATTGATTCTTTCTTAACTTTGCTTTGCAGAATAAATCTCGACTGTGAAGTAATCATACTGACCGAGTGCTGGCTAATGCGATGTAAAGATATTATCCCCCACATTTTTGACTATTCCTGTCATCTAACTAAAAATAATTGTAATCAAAACGATGGCATAGTGATTTATGTTAAAAATTTGGGAAAATATACAGTAGATGAACCAGATTTTTCTGATGCTAGTTGTCTGGTAATAAAAATAGGCACTGATAAGGCAATAATATGTATTTACCGATCCCCTTCTTTCAATGACATAACAAAATTCCTTAACTCACTTGACGCTCTCTTGTTGACCCTAACCACATTCAAATGCATAGCTATTGTCGGAGACATCAACCTGGATATTTCCTGTAGCATATCCTCCAATAAAATTGCAGATTATCTGGACCTATTAGCCTCACATGGCATACTTCCAGCTCGTACTCTTTCTACTCGAGACGGCGCCTGCCTCGATCATGTACTTCTCAAAACTAATCTATCAGCACTCACCATAGTGATTGACTCCCTTGTTACCGACCATAACTCCGTATTGCTGTGTCTTAATCTAAAGAAACGTCTCAACCAATTTATTAGCACTATCTCCAAAATTGATTACAAAACTTTGGACTGTGATAGACAGATTTTCAGTCGATTTACCAACTTGCCGATGCTAATAAAGCAGTAGAGTTCTTAAACTCCCCAACAGTAAACGTTTACTTAAGCCATGGATGACGATTGGCATGCTGCGCTGTATACGAAATAGGGATTTAATGCATAAAAGACATAAGCAATCTCCTAATAATACTATTCTAACTATTACTTATAAAAGGTACAGAAATTATTGCACAAAAATCTTAAAAAAATTAAAAAGAGATTATGATAGGAAAGAACTAAAAGAGGCTTCAAATGACAACAAAAAGATGTGGAAAGTTATTTAGCGTATAATAAATTCTTACAAACCTACCATTCCAAATAATGAATTACTCACTTCCTCAACCTCACCCCGAGCATCGGTAGATATGGTGAATGATTTTTTTGTCAATATAGGTAGATCGCTAGCTGAGCAAATTATACATCCCCCTGGAAATCACAAACTCTATAACGATTCTTCTGCTCTTTGTAATGACCAGTCATTTGTTTTGTTAGATACCGATGAAACGGAGATTGGAGATTTAATAATGTCTTCAAAAACTGACTCTGCGGTGGGTTGGGACAACATACCTACCAAGCTTCTCAAACGCTACAAACAGATACTTGTCCCACTTCTTACACATATCTTCAATCTCTGTCTTAGTTCAGGCATTTTCCCTCGATACTTTAAGAGGGCGATTATCCATCCGATATACAAGTCTGGTGACAAAACTTGCGTTAATAATTATCGTCCTATTGCTCTGTTACCTTGCATTTCTAAAATCCTAAAACGCCTTATCAACAAAAGACTCCTCAAATATCTAGAAGATAAAAAACTCCTCTCTTCAAATCAGTTCGGTTTTCGACGCAACAAATCGACAAACAATGCAGTGATCGATCTAATCGACCACATCGCAATTAATATTGAGAAGAAAAGGAAGGTTCTATCAATCTTTTTAGATTTGAAAAAAGCGTTCGATACTGTCTCTATAACTAAATTGGTATGCATATTAGAAAAACTTGGAATTCGAGATCATGCACTTAATATTTTCAAGGACTATCTCCACAATCGAACACAATGCGTCAAAATACAAAATTATCAAAGCAGCGAACTGCCAATAACTTTCGGAGTCCCGCAAGGAAGTGTCATTGGTCCTACTCTCTTTCTTGCATATATGAACGAGCTCTGCAATCTCAAACTACCAAATGGAAAAATTACTGCATTTGCTGACGACACGGTTCTTACCTTTTCTGGTGACACTTGGCTTGAAACCTTTGATACAGCACAAAAGGGTTTGAATATCGTGACACAATGGCTCAACATGCACTCTCTCACATTGAACACTGATAAAACCAAAGTGCTGACCTATAGCCTGAGTAAAACTTCTCATCCCCCAGACTCTCACACCCTTGTCGCACACTCTTGTTTACTGCTTGGAGAAAAAAATTGCAAATGTCCCGTTCTAGAACGCTCTAGGACCATTAAATATCTTGGACTTACACTTGACGATGAATTAACCTTTGCGACACATATCGAGATATTGACTAATTGAATAAGGAAGCTTATATATGTCTTTAAAACTCTTCGCTACGTAGCCGACGGTCAAATTATTAGATGTACTTACCTTGCTCTCTGTCAGTCTCTCATAACTTACTGTATATGTGCCTGGGGTGGAGCTCCTAAAACATCTATTTTAAAATTAGAACGCGCTCAGAGAGCTGTTTTAAAAGTCAGTACTTTTCGCCCCTTTTTATTTCCAACAGAAGAACTGTACAATACCTGCCAAGTCCTCACGGTTAGACAACTGTTTGTGCTCAATGTTGTGCAACTTCAACATCAGAAAACACATTATGAAAAAATTACCACAAGGCGACGCAAAAACAAAGTGTGCAAACCTTTCCATTGCAAATACTCCGTAACCAGAAGATTACCCTGTTTCCAAGGACCGCATCTCTCTAATAAACTTAACAAAGTACTTGATTTCTACTCATTGCCGATTCTGTCACTTAAAAAGAAATTGAAAAACTGGCTTCTCTCCCTAAATTATAATGATACAGAAAACTTATTAAATATCAATTCCTTTTAGATCCTGATTCTATTGGTGATTTTTGACATGATTCTTTTCCTCCACTTTTGATCTCACACACACACACACACTTCCGCACGCACTTTCACGCACACACACCATACGAGTACATACACACTCACACAAACACACACACGCACACTCACATATACACCTACATGCATTCTACAATTAGTTTTGTTTTATCCTTAAATTTATTTAACTCAAACCTCACTTAATTAAATTTAATGTTTATACTGAAGCAATCATATCAGTGACCTGTAACTGCCAATTGTAAACTCAGCCAATACATGAGTCGAGCCTAGCTCCCTTAATACAAGTTGTCTTGTCAACTTAGTAAGGCAGCTAGTGTTCCAACAACTTGAGCTCAGGTTAGTGATAATTGGATAGCCACCAAATGTACCTCATGATTGTAAACAATATTTATGATGCAAATAAATTATTATTATTATTTGAAAAAAAGCTATCAAATAGAACATTGAAAAAAAAATATAGTGTTGATTTTTTCAACTTTTTTGTTTATTACTAAGTTAAACCAACTTAGTAATCTGACGAATTTTGGCTATTGATTTAAAAGTCGCGTTTGGTTAATTAATTTTTTTTTTTATCTATAAATAAATTAGTGTATGTGTAGCAAAACATATTTGATACACAAGATACTGAAAGACTTGTAATTTTGACAAATGATTGCTAAACCTAAGGGAAAGGAACGTGATTACCACATTGATTAAATGATTAAACCTTTACCCCCTTATTAATAAACGAAGAATAAGCTTAGATTAGTTACGCCATGTAGGTCAAAGGGGAAGATCTTCCTCCGAGCTGGATGACGATAGCTCGGGGGCCGCGGCCCGGCGGGCATTGTATATATGAACTGTTGGCCGCCGAATTTCACTTGTGCGATGTAGGCTTTTCCATACTATTTGAGTGCAGCGCCGGTAGCGCCATCTCTTGAAGAGGCGAGTGATTAATTCCTGTTGGTTATATGTGGGGCATATAGATGTCGCCGCCACAGCCATGTTTTGTCTCTGTTCATTGAATGACAAATGTCATTTGTGTGATATGAACAAAACACGGCGTAACTAGTCTATGATTATTCCTCGTTTATTAATAAGAGGGTTAAAGACTGATTTTGATCAAGCTTTAAGATTATTGTAAGAAAACAAATTGTTATTGAAATAATAAAACTTTAATTTTCTTTATTCCAGTATTTTAATTATGTTCACTTACTAACAAAGTATGTAACAAAGGTATAAAAAACACTGTCCTACCATACAAAATACTCATTATTTTACAATTAAAGGATCCCAGGTGGTATGAGGGACAGAACACGCGAACAGGCAAAGCATTCAATATGAGGATAATGCGATTGAGAAACGAATCACCAATTTTGTTCGCGTCGAAATAGTGGCCACTGTTACCCAAGAGGTGCGAGCAATATTTCACGCAAGACCGCACTTGCGTCTTGTACAACAACTACTATTTTTTATCACGCTTTCAATTTCATAAAAGGCCATCAAATATATCCAACCGATATATTCGGTTAGATATTTACTGGAGATGTTCCGACACTACGGCTCAATTAAACTTAGTTGTTAGCCCGAATACAATTGTCAATGGGAATTCGGGTAAACGACTAAGTGTAAATGAACAGAGTCGAGTACGCCCGTATTCGGGTAGTATTTGTTTTGGTTACCCAAATACGGGCTAACGACCAAGTGTAATTGAGCCACAAGATTCAATAGGTACATTGGTAAAAGTCAATATTAGTGCGGGTTACTATCAAGTACCAATCAGGTAAAAATCAAGTTTTAATTTGGCATTAAAAATCAACTGGAAACCCAATAGAGATGATTAGTTAGAAGGCCGCGTTGTTTCATCGATAATTAAATTTGACTTTAATTAATATCACGTCAAATACATAGATGATTAGTTAAACAAAATATACATACGTACATAGAAAATGTGTAAAATCCCGACAAATGAATTTAACAATTGTCAAATTTAACTGTTGATGAAACAAAGCGAACTACGACTCACTTGCACCAAAGATCTTAATTGAAATTTAAAGGCCAATCATGTTTTAGTCTCAATATGTCTTCTTTTGACTATAAACAATGATAAAATGATGTGTTCAGCCTTAAATTTAAATAAAAACTTTGGTGCAAGTGAGCCTTATAGTTAATAAGTATATATAAATAAACCTGTAGCACTGGTAGCAAAAAGAAAACAGATACCATTAGCGGCAATCAGGAAATATATATCCTGATTGCCACCAGTGGTGGTGGTGGTGATTAAGCTGCAATCAGGTAATATATTCCTCATTGGCACTAGTGGTTGCAATCAGGAATAGTGGTGTATTTTATAATAAGCTCACAATAGAATTGAAGAGATTAGATAAGATCTTAAATGTAAATTGAAACAGTTACTGTTGGGAAAGTTTATTATACTGTCGAGGTATTTGTAAGGTAAAACGCCTTTAGCACATTGATGCGGTGAAACATTCTTCCGTGCTTTGACTTTATATTGCGTATGTTGTCTCTCGCTCTATCTGTTTATGATTTCATAAAAGGTTCGCGAGTAACAGCCATACTATACAGATAGAGATGCAATTTCACACAGACAGAGCGATATGCAACATACACGATATAAATTCATATTGTACGACAGATTAACGCAATTCCTCTATAACGTTTCGTCGCGACAGTGTGCTAAAGGCGGAAGACATTTTAAGAAGAATAAAGGCGTGCGCTGCGTTTAGTGGGAGTTCGAAGTGGACGGCCGCTCCGTGCTCCCGCTAAACGCGTCAGGCCCTAAAAGGGTTTTTTTTTTAAATAATTTGACAAGTTTTCTGTAATCGGTTTTTAATAAATGAAATTTTAAAATTTTTAATACAAATTTTTGAACAATATCTGCAAGTTTAATTTTATACAATATTTATATTCTTATTAAGTTTCGTAAATAATGC